CTGAAGGCACACAGCCTCTGGGGCCTCCCTTCTGCCTGCACGTGACCAAGGGTTGCTGGAGGAGGGAAAAAGAGGCTAGGCAGTAGACGATGGAGACTAACAGATAGACTATGCAGTGCCTGAGACCAAGGGCAGCCTGCAGAGACTGCCCCGCCCAAGAATGAGCTGTTGGCTCCCTGAGACTCCTTATCAGCGGGAGCCTTCTACCGGAGCCTCTCTCAGAAGATAAGGCTGCCCATTGGCTCCCCATCTGCTGAGCACCTGATGGGGATCCACCAGACTCGGAGACCCTGGCTCCTGACAATCCTGGGGAGACCCAGAGTGACCTTTGGCTATTTCGCCAGCATTGCCTTATTTGCCCTCCACTCTCCTCACACCACAGCCGTCCCAGTCCCCATGGATTGTCCAGGAGTTACCCAATACTTTCGAGGAAAGCTGAGCAGGGTAGAAGGAAGGGGCTGCGTCTTCTGTTGGGGCTACCTGTGGGTCAGCTGAAGCTCCCTCTGCCCCAACACTGCCAAGCACACGACTCCTTGCAGCCAACACTGCACCTCCATGACCTCATCTCCAGGGCAGACGTGGCAGGAGGCTCTGGGGTTGCTTGGGCCAGCAGAGACCATGTGGTCAAGGGCAGCTGGAGATAGCTTGAGCCTGGGGTTGGGGTGGGGAGCCCAAGGAGGGCTGGGGAGGAGACCCCAGCGAATACCTCCCAGATGACTGGTTTGGGGCATCGTGGAGTCTTTGTTCGCTAAGGCTGCTGTAATGGAAGCGCAGCAAGTGCATAGGTTTATTAACAACCAGAAATGCATGACCATGCAGTGCAGGAGGTGAGAGTCCACATTCAGAGCATCAGGTCCAGGGGAAGGCTTTCCCTGGCAGCTCAGGGGGAGGAAGGTCTTTGTCTTCTCAGCCACTGCCCCCCGGGAGATCATTTCATCTCTTCTGTCTCAAAAGAGATCTAATCAAGGTACATCTTACACTGATCCTACCTCATCCACAGAACAGAGACAACCCGTGCCCACATGGGAGTTTATCCAGGGGCACAGACATTAGGAGTTAAGTGCACACTTTGGGGGGCACACCATTCCATCCGTAACACGCGCTAAATACACACACAACGAGGCGTCCGCTGTTTCGCCCTTTCCCCCACATCCCCACGTTCATCATGTGCAATCATCCCCGCATTTCCCAAGTTCCACGCAGAGCGGGGTGCTCACCATCCCCCGCATGGGACGTTGCCAACCTCGGCTCCAGTCTCCTTGGCTCTGAGTATCTATGCCCTGTGCCCAGACTGCCCTCCATTTGGGCATCTGATGGGAAGTTCAGGTGCATCTTCACACAGGTTCCTCCCTCTCATCCGAAGCCTTAACAAGGCACCAGTTCGCTCCCTGATTCACGCCTCTGTACCCCTCAGAGTCCCAGGTGACCTGGTGGGCATGTCTTTGGCCTCTTCTCCGCTTACAAGCTGGCTTCTGCTCCGCGTCCTGGCCTCGCAGAGCTCGGCTTTTGTTAGTTTTATTTCTTTCTTTTTTCCCCCGTGTTTAATTCTTTTTTAAAAATCACTTTATTGGGGGCTCACACAGCTCTTATCACAATCCACCCATCCATTCATTGGGTCAAGCACATTTGTCCATATGTTGTTGCCATCATCATTTTCAAAACATTTTCTTTCTACTTGAGCCCTTGGTATAGGCTCCTCATGAACCCTTGATAATTTATAAATTATTATTTTCTCATGGCATACACTGATTGATGTCGTCCTTCACCCACTTTTCTGTTGCCTGTCCCTCTGGGAGGGGGTTATATGTTGATCATTGTGATTGATTCCCCCTCTCTCCCCTGACCTTCCCTTACCCTCCTGGTATCCCTACTCTCATTCATTATTGGTCCTGAGGGGTTTATCTGTCCTGGATTCCCTGTGTTTCCAGCTGTGATCTGTACCAGTGTACATCCTCTGATCTAGCCAGATTTGTAAGGTAGAATTGGGGTCATGATAGTGGGGGGAGGAAACATTAAAGAACTAGAGGAAAGTTGTATGTTTCATTGGTGCTATACAGCACCCTGACTGGCTCGTTTCTTCATCTCTTCCTTGTCACCCTTCTGTAAGGGGATGTCCAATTGCCTACAGATGGGCTTTGGGTCTCCACTCTGCGCTCCCCCTCATTCACATTGATATGATTTTTTTGTTCTTCGATGCCTGATACCTGATCCCATCGACACCTCATGATCACACAGGCTGGTGTGCTTCTTCCATGTGGGCTTGGTTGCTTCTGAGCTAGATGGCCAGGTTTTATTCACTTCTTGTCTACGTGGATGGCACTAACAAAATTACATGATCTGTCTGGTGGTTTTAAAGGTTAAATATCTGTACATATGCACGCAGATGTGTCTATAAAGAATCTGTACAGATAGATGTGCACGCATACATAATTAGAAAAGAACTTCAAAAATCTGTGGGCAAACTCCATCGTCTTTCCACTCCATTTCCCCACAAACGTCTGAAGTCCCTGTGCAGGCGCACACACACAATGGTAGATTGAAAATTATTGTCACGAAATCATAGAAACGTTTGTTAAACAAAAATGCCAAAAGGTGAAGGTTTGTTTGGTGCATAGCCTCCATTGAGGTCCATGTTTCCCAAAGTGGGCGGCACCTGGGGCAATGGAACAATCCAGGGGTGGGGGGGGCACTACAAAAGCAGATCCCTACACTTTATCCCAGGTTGTGGGCTATAGGGGTGTGTTAGTCTGGGTTGAGTAGAGAAACAAATCCAGAAGCACTGAAATATGTATAAGAAAGAACTTTATATCAAAGAGTCGTTATATATTGAGAAAACATCCCAGTCCAGTCCAGATCAAGTCCATAAGTCCGATATTAGCCCATATGTGCAATACCAGTCTATAAATTCCTCTTCAGACTCACGCAGCACAAGCAATGATGCCGGATGCAGGAGGAAAGATCACAGGCCAGTGGGTGGAGAGTCTTGTGGATCCAGTGGTGGTGGAAGCATCTCAGTGCTGGCAAGGGGTCTCCACGTGGCTCCTCCAGCTCCAGGGCCCTAGGGTAGCTCCATGTGTCTCGTCAACAGGATGAGAGAGTGTGTGTCCCAACCTCCAGTGGGCTATTGATCTGTCACGGCTCCAAATGGGGTCATCAAGCAGCGACCTGATCAACAGACTAAACTCCACCCCTTCACGCTCACTGTATATACGCGTGCATAAGCCGAGTTTTTCAACACATTTTTAATGCAGTTTCTATGGTAAAATTGGTGCCTCGGCTGATATTCGGGTCAGCTTATACTCAAGTAGATGCGGTAAATGTCTCAAGTTGGCACCAGATTATGTAACTACCACAAGGTGCAAATGCTTTTCATTGCTAGGGTGGTGCCAAGTCATTGTTTTCTGCTTCTGAAAAAGGGTCGGTAGGCCACATGAGTTTGGGGACCTGCAGGCAGCGTCTTCATCTCTAGCTCTTCCTTCAAGACTCTGTGGCTCTTTGACTTACACCACACCAAACCATGTTGATCTCCCTCAGGGTCTCCAACTGTGTCCCTTTTCAATGTTCGTTGCGCTTGGGGAACAAAAAGACATCTGAAAGGGCAAGATCGTGCCCGTCGGGTGGAATGGGTAAGGTTTAAAGCAAAAACATCTTCCAGGACAGCCCTGGCTGGGCTGCAGTGCCCTGAAGGAAGACAACACCTCAGTGCCCCTTTCCCGGAAACTTCTTCACCACAAACCCCTGTGGTCGTCCTGTGTCCTTTGAGAAAACCTTGGATGATTACCCATAACCTTTTGCGCTGACCTCTCCTCCTTGAATTTAACTGGTCCAGCAGATAAGCTCCCTCGGAAGCTGCTGTTTGGATCGAGCCTGTGTTTGGAAAGAGCCCTGTGGAGACTAAGACCAGGTAATTCCACGAGAACCTGTCTGCAGCCCCCCACCGATCACAGGGATAGGCTTCAACACGTGTGGTTGGGACGGAGCCGATGTGTGGATGAACCAAGACCTTAGTAGCAATGCTTTTTGACGTGTGTGTGTGTGTGTGTGTGTGTGTGTGTGTGTGTGTGTGTGTGTAAAATCTCTAAGAGAAATCCCCGGGCG